TATTAAGTTCTTCACATTAGCCAGAGGCAAACCCTTCAGGGAGCCCTGGACCCCTTTTTCTCTTTTCAGCCTCTCATCTTCAGCCCACAGTAGTTTTGTGATGCCCGACAGGAACTTTCTCTAGCAAGAATCTCAGGTTTCCTGCCACGTTTTATTTCCTTCTACTTTAGAAGAGATTTTTAATGCAGTCTTGTAAAGAGAAGAGCTCGGGAATCAAAGGACTGTCCCACCTGTTTCTCCCCTGGGACCACCTCACCTGAACCTGCCCCCCATGTTTAAATGACATACTTGATGAACAAAAGGTTTTTACCATCACATGGACCATTATAGTAACCACTTCCATTGTTACTTACAGGGCACTTTTTAACACCTCCACTACACTGTCTCTTTAATCCTGTCTACATCCCTGTGCATTTAGTGTTATGTCCCATTTTATGGCTTGAAAAACTGAGGCTCAGAGGGGTGAACTCATTGTCGACACAGAGCTAGTAACAAATAAGATTTAATTGCCCTTCTGACTCCAAAACTTTCATTTCTTAATTTTTTTTTAGATTACCTGATACTTTAATGAGTCGCCCTTCCCAGCAAAAGGTATATTCAACCCCTGTGCTGGCCTGGGCCTTCATTTCTGTCCCCGGCTCACAGATTTGAAGACGGGTATGACACCCACTTGGGGCTGCAGTTGGTTTCCTTGAGCTGGGGTCTGTCAGAACAACTTTTTTTTTTTTTTTAACCAAGAAATGCCTTTTCCATTTCACTGTTGGTTTAATGGGTGTTGCTGGGAGCTGACTTCATTTTTATTTACTGAATACAAACATTTCCTTCCTGGGAGAGGGGCCTAGGCAGTGGTCTGACCACAGATCAGAGACCCAGAAAAGGTGCTCCCGGCCGGCCGTGGCTGTGAGCAGCACAGGGGCCGGGGGAAGACTTGGGTCTGGAGACCCCCCCCACCTCGTGTGGCTGTACAGCCCTGGTTGTCACCCCTTCCCTTTGGCAAGTTTGCTATAGGCAGCCCCTTACTTTTGTACAGAAAGCACACTTGAAAGTATTTGAACATCAAACATCTGAAAGTCAAACGGTAAACCTGCACGTTAAAGAGATTCCATTCTGCAGAGCAAAGATAGATTGTAAGTGGTCACATTTTGCTTCCAGTAGGTGCTGCTTCTTGCAGTCTCAAAGGTTTTGTTGCCCTATTCATTTTTATTTGGTTTGGGGGATTTGTTTCTTAGAGGAAGGGGTTGGGGAAAATTAGGGAGAGGTAAAGGGAACTGGGGAAGCAGCACAGGCGTTTACTTGTTCGTAAATAGCAAGTACCTCCATCACTTACCTGGGAGTCAGGGACCCAGCGAGGGTGGCACTGAGCCAGATCCGTTCTGCCCAACGTGCTGCAAGCCCAATGCTGAGACGCCAAGGTTTGCAGCGAAGAGAGGATTTATTCGCAAGGCAGCCAAGCAAGAAGATGCGGAAAACAAACCTCAAATCTGTCTCCCCAAGGCAAGGGGCTGGAGGTACTTGCTGGATAATGAATAAAGCAGCAGGCTGGTCTGAGGCGTGGGGAGCGTGGGGAAGGTGATTGGAAAAAAGGTTTGGGAATCGTTCTGTGCAGGTGTGATTAGGCTATTGGCCTCTGCGCAACCGAAGGGTGGAGTTTTCCATCCTCCGCGCGGGCAGAAAGACACTCACGTGTGCCGAGTTGGAGGGTCTTAACAAGCTCAGCTCAAACCAGATGTGGCTGACTCCAAGTTCATAGAACACAACCAGGCAGGCACCTTATTTAGGCTCTGTGCCCCTTGGAGGACATGGGAGTCTCAGAACAACCTTGATTAGTGAAGGCAGGTGAGATGGACTTGACTAATCATGACTCAGTTTCAAAGGCAAAAGCAGCCAGAGCCCCTGCCCTCACGTGGCTGCTATGTTTGGGGAAGATAGATGTTACCCAAATAGTCTAATAAAACGAATGTGCGGCTAGGCCCTAAGCCAGGTGTCCTTAGTGAAAAGCGTGCAGAGCACACACGCCCGGACAGGAATCAGATCGGGCTTCTGGAGCAAGTGCCCTGCAGCTGAGACCTGAAGGTCAAGTGGAAGGTGGCTGGGACCAGCAAGAGGGCCAGAAGGCGGGCCAGAACAGGGTTCAAGGTGGCCCGAGGGGTGACAGGGCCGAACTATCCAGGTCCCATGAGGCATGTTAGAGTTTGTTACACTCTATGGGAAATGGGACTCCACTACAAGGTCTTAAGCATGAGCGTGACACGGTCAGGTTCTTCCCTTCCCAGAGCACTGCAGGGGGCCAGGTTAGGGCGGCATCCAGGCTTTGCCACTTCCCAGGGAGCTTCCAAAGGCCCAGAGGAGACAGGGTGGGAGAAGGGGCCTTTTGCCTTGCCACCCCACAAGCTGAGTGGGACCTGGCCTGTGCCTACTACACACCTGTGGGTGCTTCCAGTGTCTCCAGTGGTGCCCAGACCTCTGGAGGGCATCCAGGTTGGGCAGCAGGGGTGAGGGGGGCAGGCACTGTACCAGGCATGGGAGGGGTGATGGGGGAGGCGGAGGCGGCGCTGGCCCTGAGCTCAGCCTCCGGCACAACCTCCCGGGAGCCTTGAAAACAGGTGTGGCAGAAGCGGGGCCACTGGTGAGCATCCTGCCCAGTGCGTCTCAGGGCATCTCTCGAAATATTTCCCAGATGTCTTGTTTCCAAAACACTTGGCCCACAGGGTGTGCTGAAGGGGAAAGAGCCAGTTCCACAGTCAAAGCAGGGTGAGGCGTGCTGCCGGCTGACACCCTCTCAGAGACCCAGTCGTGGGAACCTTGGGAGGTTTTCCCTCTCAGAAACCACTTGATTTGTCTGACTCACTATCTCCCTATGCTAGTGTTGTGAAGAACAAGATTTGGAGAAAGCTGCCTTAACCCGTCTTCCAGAGGCTTCATAATACAGTACAAAGAGCAAGAGCTTTGAACATAGGATCCTGAATTCACGACTTTCTAAAGCTTTGAATCCTTGGGCAGGTTGTTTTTTAATCTTTCTGAGCCTGTTAGGAGCCCCCCTCGTTGGAGGCTGCTAGTGCCCACCTCGGGCCAGACCAGCTGTCTCTCTACCCCGTGGGCCCATGGGGAGAACAGGTAGCCGAGATCAGCTACCTGGCTGGGTGACTGGCTCTGTGCTGATAAAAGATTCAAGCATTTGATGGTATTAATCTCTCAAGATGGGGAAAGCCACCCACAGGAGCACGTGATGGGGGATTTGGGGGGAAGCCTTGAGGAAGAGCAGAGGCATCTTCTCTCTGGGGCTCAGAAAACTGCTCAAGACTTGCCCATCAGTACTCTGCTTTGCTTGTTCAATAGAGTTAGTAACACCTCTAATTTTCCCGGTTTTATTGATACATAATTGACAAATAAACTTGTAAGATATTTGATGATTTGATACACGTATCTGTCGTGAAAGGATTCCCCGCCGCCTTGAATTACTTAACACATCCATCACCTCAAATATTTTATCAATCTCTCCCTATTTCCCCCACTGTCCAGTTCCTGGCAACCACTTTCTACCCTCTGTTTCTATGAGTTCAATGTTTTTTTCTTTTTTTAAGATTCCACGTATAAGTGATACCATGAAGTATTTGTTCTTCTGTGATTGGCTTATTTCACTTAGCGTAATGCCCTCAAGGTCTATCCATGTTGCAGAATGTATGTCAGAATTTCCTCCTTTTTTAAGGCTTAATAGTTCATTGTGTGTGTGTATCTCCTTTATCCATTTATCCACTGGCAGGCACTTGGGTTGTGTCCTTACCTTGGCTCTTGTGAACAACGCTGCAGTGAACATGGGAGTGCAGATAGCTCTCCAAGACGGTGTTTTCATTTCCTTTGGCTGTACACCCAGAAGTGGGATTGCTGGATCGTATGGTAGTTCTATTTTTAAGTTTCTAAGGCACCTCCAGACTATTTCCGGATTATGTGCCAGTTTACATTCCCACCAACAGTGTACGAAGGTTCCGTTTTCTCCACATCCTCACTGACGCCTGTTATTTGTCTTAGGAAGAACAGCCATTCTAACAGGCATGAGGGGGCATCTCACTGTGGCTTTGATTTGCATTTCCCTGCTTTGCATTTCCCTGATGAGTGATGATGAGCATCTTTTCTTGTCTGTGTTGGCTGCTCAGCCCTCCTTTTTGACAAAGGATTTTCTTCTGTCTATTTTTAAATATTGTTTCTCCTACCTTGCTTAAATTTCTGAAGATGAAGATTTGTGTAGTTTCTCTTTTCTGAGCTCAGTACAAATGGAGGAAGTTAAACCTGGCCGCAGGGGACTCTTGGTGGGAAGACAAGGAAATGGGAGCTGAGGAGGGGGTATGCAGGCAGGAGGCCTGGGCGGGTGACCACTGAAGGCTTTGGGAAACAGCTGGGGCTTGAGGTCCTCTCCTCTGTGTCTTTCAGGGAGCATGGCTTCTCTTTCAGCTCAGAGGCAGACTCTGAGAAAGAACTGGTTGCAGGTCTCTGCAAATTGATTTTATTCTACTTGCAGCCAAAACTTCGAGACCTACCATTTCATATGCTTCCCTCTATGTAAGGAAATTTGTTTCCTAAATCCTGTCAGGGTGGCCCAGAGGCCCCTCAGCTGCTCTGCATCACTGAGCAAGGGTAGCCCCGAGCCCTCCAGGAGGCAGGGTCACGTGCCTGCTCAGACTGGGAGCCCAGGCTCAGAGCAGCAGTGGGTTACCAAGCCACTTAACTCCAGGTGGCAGATGGGCTGCCAGTTTTGCCCTCAATAATAGCAACCACACTTAATCGATCAATTAGAATATTGTGCTTCAGGTCATGTGTTTCTGGGTGCAAATACTAAAAAAGAAGAAAAGGGGGAAAAAGCATGATGTGCACAGTCAGGAAAGAACTTGGCAAACAGAGGAGTAGCCAAACCCACAGAGCTAGGCCTTGCGCACATTGTCGTTTGGGGGCTGGAACAGGAGAGGGAGGGAGGGCGGGCATCCTGGCCTGCGCTGCCTCCTGGAGAGTGAGCCGCCTTCAGCACCTTGGCCGCCCCACTTCCATCAGAAGGAAAGCCCCAGCAGGGCTGAAGGACAGTGTTATTCACCAGAGTGGTGACACAGGCCTTTGCTGGTTGATTGGGACATTGGTGCTTTTATTGATGCGTGATGGACAGCACAATAATCTCCGCAGTGTGCCGCATTTCAGAGTGCTTTCACAAGCCGTCCTGAGACTCCCCTGGAAGCGACTTGGGAGGTCCCTGGTTTCCCCATTAGTCAGTCTCAATTGTTGGGAGAAATGTTCTCTTCCCCTCTCCTCGCCAGTCCTGCTCTCTGCTCTCTGGTGCAAGCCAACCTCGACATGATAAGTGCATCCCTCAGCATCCAGTTTCTCATTTCAGGGAAAATGATCCTAGCTCTGTGCCAGCCCAAAGCGTGAGGCTGCAGTTTTGGCCAGAGAAACTGCCTGGGACCGTGAGAGCGTCACAGGGGAGGCTCCTGGCTGCCTCTTGGGAAAATCCTCTTCTCTTTCCTGCCTTCTCATCACTCACAGCCTTCCCCCGTGTGCATTTTTCTGAGCTTGTTTTCTTTAAATCTGGGGTTGCATTTAAGCCATAACTGACCATGTCACCTCCCACCCTCCAGTTTCTTGCCCAGTTAAAGCTCATGGACTACAGCCTCCTGGTGGGAATCCACGATGTGGAGAGAGCTGAACAGGAAGAGGTGGAGTGCGAAGAGAACGACGGGGAGGAGGAGGGGGAGAGTGATGGCACCCACCCCATCGGGACCCCTCCTGACAGTCCCGGAAATACTCTCAACAGCTCACCGCCCTTGGCTCCCGGCGAGTTTGATCCAAACATCGACGTTTATGGAATTAAATGCCATGAAAGTAAGCTGAATTACTATCAACTGTTTTTACCATTAGTTGGGTTTTTCTGCCTTGTTATCTACCAGAAACCATCACCCCAGCTGCCCTAGGAGACTCATTCTCCAGAGTTAAAAAATAAAGTGATTTCAGGGCAAGAGTATGTTAAAGGTAACTGTAATCTCTGGCTTTGACATGTAATGTGATGAGGTCCTTGAATTTTGTGATGCTGAAGGAACAGAGTGAAACCACATGACAGAGAGTGGTGTGTGTCTACAACACACACATGCACATGCTTGTGTCAGTATCCATACCATATGTAAGAAATGTTCTTAAGTATTTTTTCTTCGCTACATGTGGATCTCAAGTGTCGTGAGCCTGACCTGAGCTAGGTGCACATGCGGTCCACCCCAAACCTCTCGCGGACGTCCTATAGGGCAGGCATCTCATCGCTCAGCCCTCTCCTTGGACGTGCTGAGGCTGGCGCAGGGTGGGATGAGAATCTCTGATTTGCTGCAGGTCTGTCCTCTGCTCTCCCCTGGCTACCACCACCACCCCCCGCCCCCTTAAGGGGTCTGTGGCCTTCTCTAAAGTGAAATCGATCTTAGTCCTCCAAATCTGGATGACTGGATATTTGTAGGAATATTACATGCTGTCTTAGCTACTTACATACGAAAAAGCCAAAATAATTTAGAGGTAAAAGCAGACCTCTTACTTTTTGAGTGGTAAAATTGTGGTTCATTGTTTAAAAAAAAAAAAAGTCTCATGGCACAGCAGCCAGGTGAATTTGAGTTGTGTTTTTTATTTTGCTCACCAAAACTGTTCCTTCAACACAGAAAATTAGATGTAGTCAAATGCTCTTTTTCTTACTGTTGATAACTGAAACAGCATCATATTTGTGGAAATATGTAGAAGACAGTTATTGTAGAGAATTAGGAACAGTTGTATGTTTTTTGTTTTGTTTTTGTTTTTTTGAGGGGAGGGAAATAATTAGGCTTATTTATTTATTTTTGGAGGAGGTACTGGGGATTGAACCCAGGACCTTGTGCATGCTAAACTAAGCGTGTGCTCTACCCATTGAGCTATACCCTACCCCCCTTGGAACAGTTGTATGTAATGGTAGAAAAGGATTAGGGAGCATAATTACTTCTACTTGTTTTGTAGAATATTTCTTAAACAGCATTTTTCTTTACACCAAAACAATACACCATCATTAAAGAAAATGCAGATTAACAAAAAATAAAAATTCAGTCTCACACTTGGACCTCCAATGCTAATGAATATCCTGGGGTTATGTTCTTTTTACTTTTTAAACAGAGAGAACTGGGGACAGAAAGTTAAGCTGTTTTGCAGGGATAAGCCAGGCTGAAAGAGCAGCTAGTGCCTGTTTTGTGAACCCCCCCCCCAGCCTCACCCTCCCGAGTCCCTGCCCCCAGCACGCCCCCCCTTCTCCGGTCCTCCCTCCTCCGCAGCTGGCAGCTCGAGTCTTTCCAGGCGTGTCATCTGACCTGTCATCGCTCTCATCCCTTTCCAGACTCGCCGAGGAAAGAGGTGTACTTTATGGCAATTATTGACATCCTGACTCATTATGATGCAAAAAAGAAAGCTGCCCACGCTGCAAAAACTGTTAAACACGGCGTAAGTACCTCCACTGCGTTTCCTTCCCTGCTCCTGGCGCCTTGATGTTGTCTGTGGTGCAGGGACCAGCTCAGTCCGCTCCTTTCCACTGAGCTGCCCAGAGTCCTTCAGTGGCTCTGGTTCCCCTCAAGGGTCACATTCTGAGGCCGGATTCAGAGCCGGCACGTGCTCCCCCGCCTCTCCCTCGGCTTTTGGCGAATCACTTAAAGCCGGCCACAGCTTCTCTTTTTACCCACTGGGGATATTAACAGACACATGCATCATGAGAATATTACACAAATTCCTTTTTGTTCGAAAAACGGTTAAGGGCTGAGTGATGATACGTAAGTGTTCCAGTATGAGATGTTCGGAAGGGAAGCACTATTTTGTTCCCTGCTTCAGACACTTCCAAGATACGCAACATTGTATTCCTTTCCACCCGGGGAATTGTATTTTTTTCCACCCAGTGAATTGTATTTTTTTCCATTACAGACATTTTTTGAGTGCAAGGTCAAAGTCTAATAGCACAAGTCCCGCACTTTTACTGTGCTGGCTCGGAATTCCTCTTCCAGGCCTGGTAACTTGTTGAATCCCCGTGACCGGCCTGTGAGAGGTAGCTAGTGGATCCCCCTCATCTGATGGAGAGACAGGAGGAGAGCTCCTGTGGTAACTTGCTGGGATCACATCACTGGGAGGTGGTGGAGGGAGGACTGCACTCCAGGACCCGGCCTGGCCCCTTGCCCTGGGCCAGTTCCCCCACCCACCAGTGAACCCCACTGGCCTGGCTGGACTTCAGAAGTCATGAGTCTTCACCAGGCAGTAGGGATCCGTTCTGGCTTTCCAGGTGTGCTAGAAAAGCTTGAGAGCCCCTCCCCAAGATGAACTGGTGCCCCAGCTCACTCCTACCAGGAGGAGGTGAGGTGCTTCCCCCTCAGTGTGGAGCCAACCGAGATAGCCCAGAACATCAGCCTCCACTAAAGGCCCTTTTTCTCTATTTTAAGTCATCCAGCAACGGAACCAGCCTAAAACTATACCCCACTTGCCATAGAAATATGTCAGTCACATCGCCAGCTATTTATGGCATTCCTGCTGTGTGCAAAGCACACACCAAGACCTCACTGGGCCCACCCGGTTTGGGAGGAGGGGACACAGTAGCTCTCACCCAGTGGGTGGCATCACAACCTTCTGAGTTCTGTTTGTAAGATAATGTGGTGCCAGATGCCCCGCCCCCTTTGCCTGATTCTCAGTCCAGTTTGGGAGGCCAGGGGGGGACAGGTCTCTGAAAGGCTCTGTGGTAATTCTGATGCTCAGCTCTAGTTGAAAAGCCTGGGAGTATTGCAAAGACAGAACGGGGTCGGAACCCCTGTTTCACGTTTCCAGTTGTGTGCCCTGGAGGAAACACTCTGGAGCGTCACTGCCCCCAGCTGATGAGGGGGGCCTGATGCCTTGCTGATGGGGCTTTGGGTGAACAGGCGGAACAGTGAGGTGGTGCTGTGTGTCTGTTCCCACCCCTCCTCAAGCCTGCTGTGATCTTCTATACCATGTGCAATCGGAAATGTGCCACAGCAAACGTGGCTCCATCTTAGTCCCCCTTTAAGTCACCAGCTCAGCTCCATGATATAGCACACGGCCTAAAATGGTGTGCAGTTTGCAAGAGCAAGACATTACTCTTTGCAAAGGAATGTTGTGTTGAGCTGCTGCTGGGAACCATTCTCCGCCATCAAGACCTGGGCTCCTCGGTGCGGTGGAAATTACAGGTTCCCCTGTGGGGCGCATGTGTAAAACCAGCACCTGGTGACTTAGTGAAACCCTGGTCCTGCACTTTGTAGCGCAGGAAACCAGCTGATAACTGCCAAGGGTCTGCAGGCCAGCACTGTGCCTCTCGTAATAGGAAATGCCCACCGAGCCTCTGTGAAGGGGAACAGTGGCAGCCCTGTGCCCGGTGCTGCAGGGACCAGCTCCTGCCCCTCCGGGGAGATGCAGTTACAGTGCTATCTCACCTGGTTACGGTGCCAGGAAAGAGCCCGGGCAGCCGGCATGACCTGACTGCTGCCGCCATCATTTTTGAGCACTCAGCCACTCGCCTCAGTCCTGAAACATGAGCGCTGTCCTTGCCTCCTTGTCAAAGGAGTTTCCCTTTGGCTAAAGGTTGCTGTTTGTGTCATTGTCAAGGTATCTCCAATCGGCTCTCGTGGGAAACAGAAGTATTCTCCCCGTGGCTTCTGAATGTAGGTCACACAGATTCCACGTTTGACGGGAGCACCCCAAAGCTAGCTGGTTGGGTTTTTTTTTTTTCCAGTGGCAGCAGTCAGTGTGTGTGACAGTGGCATCTGTTGTTCCCATGACTGCCTCATTTCACACCCAGAATCCTAAGAGCCTTGGTTATTCAGACACAACATCCAGGATATTCTGAGTTCGGTTTTAAGAGCAGAGAAGCGGCCCAGGTTTGAAAATGGTTGGCTTCATATTCAGCTGCAGCTGGAAGTTGCTGTAGGTGCTGACTAGTAACCGTGTCAACATTCCTCCTCTCACACTGCCCAGGCTGGCGCGGAGATCTCGACCGTGAACCCAGAACAGTATTCAAAGCGCTTTTTGGACTTTATTGGCCACATCTTGACGTAACGTCCTGCACAGCTGTGGATGGACGTGAGCATGGGAAGGACAGAGGTGTGTTCGGTGCAGGCAAGATGAAAACCAAACAGCGAAGCACACCTCCTCGTTTACATCTTCAGGCCAAGATGACTGATTTGGGGGCTACTTGCTTTAACAGCTACCTGATATTTCCCAGCATCATTCTAGCTATTTCTGACTTGTGTGCGTGTGCGTGTGTGTGCGTGTGCGTGTGTGCATCTTGAAAATAAACTGGTTAATTACTGAAAACCGACCAGCTTCAGTCAGAGTGTGTTTGGGGCCACAACCCCCCCGATTCCAGCTGTGGACGAATGACTGAACGAACGAGTGAGTGAGCGAGCATGTGCAGGGGGCGGGGGAGAAGGCAATGCATGCCAGACCAACCAGCTACGCACCACACGATAAACCGTGGATCAGTTTATCCTTTTGGAATTGAAAGGTGTGAGACAGTATTCGTAATAATAATGAAGATAATAATAATGAAGATAATAATAATGACGGTGATTAAAAGGAAAAAAGCTTACTGCAGGTGTGACACTTCTACCACGCACGCTGACACTCCTTAATGATTGTACCCCGGGTGCTGGACAGAGGAGGCTGGCATCTCCCGCACATCCTGGTTCAGGTGTGGGGATTCCTGGTGTCCGGGGACAAACGCCCCTCCTCCGGCAGGAAGCTGATGCCCCTGGTGACTTGTCTCTGTACATTTTCACCTCAGTAAATATGTCCAGGAAAACTGCTTACTTCTCTTTCCTTGCCTGGAGCTTTTTCACTGATACACTGTTATGTTGCGATATAGGAATTAATGCTACAAATAAAAATAAAGCTTACCTGAAAAGTGCATAGTTTTGGGCAATGGTATCTACATCCCCCACAGTGGGAAGGTGAGCAAAGAATTTAGAACTCTCAATTCTGCTAAACAGTGGTATTTTGTTACGAATTGTCCCTTTAACTGAAACCCTCAATATTACTGTTTACATTATTAGGAAAACAGGGATATTTTTGAATCTAAAAATTTAATGTACAGCATGTGATTTTTGAAGTTTACATGTAAAGTCATTTTACAGTGTAGGTGAAATAATGTTTGTCATATTTTGAAATATCCTGCAGTCATGTTTTGGAGTGAATGTTTTACTCAAATTACATGGCAGGCAGTCTTTTACAGTAAAAGGAAAAGGGTTGTTTTGTTTCCTCCGGATGTACATTTATCAACCTAATGATTTTTTCTTTTAAGAAAATGTTTAACCCAGATCTGGTTATGTAAGTTCATTGCCCTAAACTGTGCTGTGTCTAGTCAAGTTACAAATTTCCAACACTGATCGTGTATTTACCAACTTTCTGGCATTTTCTGAAAGGCGTCAAGCTAAAATATTAGACTTGCTTAGAGTAGGTTATCAAGTTATACACTGTGCTAAAGCTGTGCCTTTGAAATCCTTTGTTTAAAACGTGAGATGATTGTTGTAGGCGGGTTCAGGAAAAGAAAAAATCCGCCCTTCGGTAATTATTTACAACTCAACAAACCCTCCCTGCCGTACTGCCTCTTCCAGTGACTTGACTTCAGGGCTTATCAAGTCTGCAACTGTGCCCAACACATGTGAGTTTACTTCGGAAATCACGAGCTGACGGCAAGTCGGAGCCGTGGGAAGCCAGCAGCAAGGCTGTTCTACATCTCCTGACTTCACAGAGCTTGGGTATCCTCAACAGGCGATGTCGACAGCACTGGGACCTGGTTGTCTAATCTGTATTTTCTGTACTTAAGTTAACTGAGATGGTGATTTAGGTTTTCCCCCACCACTCATTCTGGCATCGAGTTCAGCGTTCTGGACTTTCAGTGTTCTGAAGTTACGTTATGGTTCCTTTGATTCAGGATTACAAAAGTGAGACCCTGAAGTAGAGAGAAGGTACACATACACTATTTGACTAACTGTTTCCTTTGTGGCCAATCTGTTTATGCTTTTAGAAGTTTACAGAATGCTTTCTTTTTGTCTGTAACAGTCTCTGCCGTCCCTTTCTGTTGGCCACCTCTTCTGGCAGAGTGAGAAGTTTGCCTTGTATCTCCTAGAGCTAACAATACACTCCAGTCATGAGCCGGGCTTTACAAAATAAAGCACTTTGATGACTCACAAGGTGGAGCCTTTGTGTCTCTCTCTCGATTGTGTTTCTTTCTGTTACAACTTTTAAATACTCGGTACTAAGAGTATCTTTTGCTGATCCCTGAAGAAGTAAAACTGAATCTTTCCACAAATTGGAGCTTTGCCTATCAACCCATGAACTATTTTATTAGTAAACAATAGAAACTTCCAGGACAAAATTGACCTACTGCAAGGTGGATAAAGAAAAGAAGTCTCTTCAGTGAATACCCTCTAAAGTTTCCTAGTTTTATTTTTAATTTTTTCCAACCATAGTTCTGTGTATCAATGTTTTTTGAAATCTTACCGGGAAGGCATGGGTGGCTAGAGGCTTTTTATAGCGTTCCATTGTCCCTGGTGTGCACAAACAGCTTAGCTGTAGTGCTTGTTCCGAAAATGTGTAATTGTGCTAATTTGATCAGTATGTGAGGGAGTTATTTGAGTGTAATGCACTTTTCACATTTGCTGTATTCACAGTAGCTCAAGAACACAAGATGAACACACAAAACTGCACCC